ATTTAAAAAAAGGAATATGCATTCAATGCTATTCAAAAGTGGGAAGTGAATACTTTACAATTTTATTCAGTGGTGCTTATTTTTTGTTAGCAGCTATGGTAGAAGAAGATGAAAGTAGCCAGCTAAGGATGGCTAACTAGCCAGTGGTTTTGGCCGGCTACCAGCCCTTATTGACAGCCCTGCATGGACACACAGCCTAAATTAACAGAAAGGACTAAAACATTATTAAAGTAACAAACGGATAGGCATATGGCAGCACAGCACTCAACATTGATTACTAGTCTTATCTCCTGCAGTGAATTGCTGTGTTTCTCGAGAATAAAACCATGTTGTTGAAGAATTTATTAAAGGACATAAGAAGTAGAGTGGACTTCAAACATTTTTAAGGCTTTGTTGATTTATTGATGAGATCTATAATTACATTTTTGTAACTTGCATTCGCAGAAACAAGGAATGTCCAACATGTAGGAAAAAGCTGATTTCAAAGCGGTCCTTACGTCCTGATCCCAATTTTGATGCCCTCATAGCGAAAGTAAGATATTTCAATTTAACTTTTTTAAGAATATTTTGTGAACTGCACAATTGCTAGTACCTGTTGCTGTGTTGTTTAAATTATTGTCAAGCCACTGATTCTCCATTTTAAAGGTGTAATGAGTTACTTTTAAACAATGCACACACTGTCAAAAGTTGGATTATTAGTTAAGTGATTTGTGTACAAAATTGTATGCTTTCCGATCACTCCATCAATTTCTTTTTCCTTTTTCCTTAGATGTAAAGTAATTAAAATAAAACTATCATGATAGAAATAAGAATTATTGTAACTTAAAATATTTTCCTTCCTTTCCTTTCACTTTATTTTTCTTTTAACTGGGCCGCCTAGATTAGCAAAAGCAGATTTGTGGGCCAGTCCATTGTAATTACTATTTTTACTAAATGAAGTTGAAGTTGAAGTTGTAATTTGATGTTATTTAAAGATTACATACACTGTACCTGTTTTATGTACATGGTGTAAAGGTTTCTTACTCCCGTAACTTGATTATCTGCATTTGCAATATTTTTTTAGATTTACCCGGACAGAGACGAATATGAAGCACATCAGGTTAGGAAACTCTAGAAAATCTAAATACATGTAGATACTAACAACAGAAAAATAGTTTAAAAAGAAAAAGAAAGATAAATAACTGATCCAAAGTAAGCAATTTACTACCTTCTCACATAAAATGTGAATTGCCTTGTGGGCTATGCAATTTTAGTTAATGCACAATGCAATTCATACATGTAGTGCAGGACACAATTCTCATTGCCAGTGACAACACTGTAAGTATCATGGATAAAATTCTTGCATGATTTCAGTAAAATCCACTGTAAAGCTTAGCAAATGCGAACAATTTTAACCACTGCAATCTGTAGACTGTTGAGTATCATTAATTTGTATTGTAAAGAATCAATATGGGGGTGTTAATGCATAACACTGAAAACTACCCTCTTGAAAAAACATTACGGGAAAATAGGAACATATCTAATGGGTAGTTCTTCAAGGAATTCCACTAGCTACCTTTAGCATGATCCCCAACTATTTTTGCTGGAAACAAATTAGCGAAAGTTAGAGCATGTAAAAATCTTCATGGATGTTCAGTTCTGCACCTACCGGTACTTATAATATTGCAAAACTCCAGCAAGTTGAAATCTTAATGACAGCCCCAGGGAAGATCCTACTCTAAGTGATTTTTTTAATTTCCTGAACAACACAGCAACTTTCACCATTACCTGTCATCAGTTATGTTCATGCTCATTTGTACATTGTACAAATTAAGTTGAGGAATACCAGATTTCAGTTTTGTAATCAAGGCTGTGCTCTAAGGAAAATTGAAGGGAGCCCAGTGCTCTGAAACTGTAAAATCTAGGGTGCCCAGCATATGATTTGTATGAAAAATCTGAGATTTTCTAGTTGCCTAAGGGCAAAAGTTAGGTTCCAGGGGCCACCGGGCTCTGCTAGAGCATAGCCCTGGTAATGTTTGAGCATTTTTATAACTAAAGTTATTTGTAGTACCTACATGTACAAAAGTTCTTGAAACTAAAAATGTCTTAAAACTGAATTGGAACTCTTGACTTCATGTGAATGCTAATTTTACTCACCTGTTTACAGGAAAAGGTTTTACAGAGGTTAAACAAGCATCACAATCAACAGGCATTAACAAGTAGCATTGAAGAAGGGCTTAAACTTCAGGCAATTAACAGAGCTCAGAGGGTGGTAAGTTATGTTAACTTTGTAAATTATAACTCATACACTGTACAAGTAGCTGCAGTACACTTACACTGTAAGTTAAGAGTCTAGTGTATTACTTTTCTTTCTCAGGGTACACGACTGAAATCCCGAACCTCCTGGGGCAGAAAAAAAATCCGTTTTTCATAGCATTTGAATTGGTGATAAAATGATTGTGTGCACTCCTAACTGCTCTCACAACTTTGGTCAGAGCAAAAGTTTATTCTCTAATCATGTCAACTGTCGAACTAATACAGACCATGGATTTTTTTGGACCTCTTCACTCTACATGCACATAACAGCAATAAACTGCTTAAAAGCTTTTTGCTGATTTTGCAGAGATGCATCTTATGTTCCCTTCAGCTGAGTTGTCTTAATACCTTCCTTGTTGCTAATTATTTTATTTCAGAGGAAGAGGTCATCAGATGACCCAGGGAATGATGCAGGTACAGGTATGGTAAATTTTTACATCCTGGTAAAAATTGGTTAACACAACTGATAGAACTGTGAAACAAAACCTGCCCAGCAATTAGAGTTTAAGGTGGCTCAACACAGTTTGATAGGTTGTGGATGGTTTCCTTTCATGGGGTTGGTGTTGTTTAAGACTTGTTGCAGGAATAAAGCTCAAATTTGGGACAGACAATAATATTATTATTTATAAGACACTGAATTTATCGGGTTAAAATTTAATGTAAGATTTGATGGTTGTCATTACAATGTAGTTAATTGAAAACAAGCACAAAATTTTGAATAAATCAGCTTGACCCAAATCCAGGACTTTCATTATATTTTCCTAATGAATTTGCACACTAGAGAAATCGTGTGCAACAACCTTTATATTGTATTTTACTTCTTTTTTTTGTTTGAGAAGCCTAAAAATGTGTGAACCACATAGTTATTGTTTCTGAGACATAACAATGGATACAAAATTTGACAAGGATATTGTTTTGGTTAGAAAAGGGTATTTGGTTGTTTTATCTTCTCATTTAAAGTGGTTATAGAGTTGCTGTAGTTTTTGTACAGATGTAGAAATAATACATCACAGCTGTGGTATACATAATTGAGTGTAAAGAGTTTGTTGGAAGTATCAGCTTTGCTATTTACAGTGTTTCTGTCATGTTTTTCCCTGGTTTTAATTTATGTTCATTGTATGTCATGTTCACTTTTGTTACGCAAAAAACTGTTTTTCCTATTTAGCAGGAACAGGGGGACCAGGAACACCAGGTTCAACAGGGCAGCCATCTGTAGGAGAGGGAGGCAGCAATACTGTGCGAAAAAGACAGAAAACGTCCTCTGATCCTGAGTCTGATGCCAGTGAAAGTGAGTTTTTGAACAACATTAACCAGAAGGTTATAGATTCAACTCCTTTTGGGAGTACAGTTGAAGCTCTGCTTGCAAACACTCTCAAGAGAGAGTTTAACAGAATTATTCAAAAATAGCCACCCAGCTATTGTAGTTGAATTTGAAGAATGCTGGTACACAGAACATAAATTATCAAGGGTTAATTTTCAGATAGCTAAGGTGAAAATTATTTTGGCTATTTGATATGGCAACCAAAACATCCAGAGCATTGAACTCTGAACAATACTGAAAGTTTCCTTCCATTGTTGCAGTAAAAATATGCAGTTTTAAAGGTGTTCTTTACCATTATTTTAACAGACACTTTGGACTCCACTGGAGAAGCAGCAGCAGAAACATCAGAGCCTCAAAATGTGAGTACAGAAAGGGCTGCTGCACATGCTGCACATGGCAAGCTGTAGCTATGCTGAGTAGTAATGTTGATGCTTACCAGTGCCTATTAAGTTTTGTCAAACTAAATTTGACCAAATACATGTTGGGAAATGCATGACTGTTACTTATCTAGCAATGTTTTGTTTGTGTTTTTGATTATCTTAACCATTAAATACATTACTTTTATCAATGAAAAATAGTGAAACTTAGAGTTAGAAAAGTGTCAAATTATCATGGGTGAGCAATCAAATTGTTAGAACTAGACGTTCCAAGTGACAGTCAATTTCTGACTGATTGACTTGATGAATGACTAACTCACAGGCTGACTGATTGATTGAATGACTCATTGCTTGTCTACTGACATTCTGACTGAATGGCTGGCTGACTAACTGACAAGCAAGTCGACTCTTGCCTATGTGATGGCTGACTAGCTGGCCGGCTAGCTGGCTGATTGGCTGAATGACTGGCTGAGTGTCATTTGTTGCTGTAGTTTGACCATATAGAAAAAAGACAAAGACTGTCTTCTTTTAATGGTAGAGTTACGTTGTGTCATTGTTGACATGATCTTGATTCCAAAAAAAAAAAGAAGAAAAAAATGCACTTTATTTGAGTGTCAATGTATGTAGCACGAAAGTACTATTTTACTGGGGGCACTATATTTTAGTTATATTATATTTTACGGGACTGCCATTTTACATGGTCATCTGAGCCACACGAAAGTCTAGCCTGTTGCAGTGCAAAGAGAGTACCTTCATTTCTCAGTTATTTTATGACCCTGAGTATTGGTCCGGCCCCGGGAATCGAACCCACGACCTCCAGCTCAGCAGTCAACACGCTCTACCGACTGAGCTAACACTGCCGCGGTTCTTATGTGTTCTTATCAAGCTCTGTTATGATCAGTGCATTAATCACTTCTTTTATCAACAGGAAATCGAACTTGTGTTTAAACCACACCCTAAAGATCACGATCCAGAAACGGTGGCTCAACAAACTCGTTACATCAAGACAACAGCAAATGCTTCAGGTGTACTAGCAGTATACTTCACACTAAAATGCTTTTAACAGTCTTGGAAAATGATACAGTACTATAGGTTCAGTTTACTAGCTTTATTTTTACCTTTACTTTATTTATTTATATATTGATTTATCTTACTTTATTTTTTTTGTAGTTGATCATCTGGCCAAATACTTGGCCATGAGACTAGCACTAGAGTCTCAAGAAGATACAGGTCAGTGAAATCTGTGGAACTAATTTATTTGCATGTTCAGNACTGAGCTAACACTGCCGCGGTTCTTATGTGTTCTTATCAAGCTCTGTTATGATCAGTGCATTAATCACTTCTTTTATCAACAGGAAATCGAACTTGTGTTTAAACCACACCCTAAAGATCACGATCCAGAGACGGTGGCTCAACAAACTCGTTACATCAAGACAACAGCAAATGCTTCAGGTGTACTAGCTGTATACTTCACACTAAAATGCTTTTAACAGTCTTGGAAAATGATACAGTACTATAGGTTCAGTTTACTAGCTTGATTTTTACCTTTACTTTATTTATTTATATATTGATTTATCTTACTTTATTTTTTTTTGTAGTTGATCATCTGGCCAAATACTTGGCCATGAGACTTGCACTAGAGTCTCAAGAAGATACAGGTCAGTGAAATCTGTGGAACTCATTTTTTTGCATGTTCAGATGTACATTTCTCTTAACACCAGGAATAGCCCGTTGTGTTGTTGAATAATGAATTGTACTATTTCCTGAAAACTGTCTGTCTAAACAGCTCAAGAAAAAAGATAAGGAATACAGTGAAAATAAAGTCAAAGAAGAAGCAGTTTCTTGTCGATTTAAATTTTCAGTTATCAAGTATGAGTTTGTGTGTGTTGCTGTTCAGATGTTTAGGTCGATAGTAATAGTGGCATTTTTTTAAGTTCTCGGAGGAGTACCCCTGCTGATTCGCTTTTCTCTTGGATTCCAGGTTTGCCATGTTGGTTGACAAAAAAATGAGGTTTTTTTTCCTTTTTGGCAGAAGATGCATGAAAAAAAAAAATAGTTCCCGGTGTGGGGAAACGCCTCTTTTGTTCCTGTCAACCAACATGGCCGCCATAAAGTCAGCTGCAAATCAGCAATTCTATATTCCATTGATAATTTTGAAGCTTTTGTTTTTCAAAATTTGTAGGCGCCAGTTCATCAGAGGATGGAGTGGAAGTGCCACAGTTTACAATATACATTGCTAGCACACCCGGGCAGTATACGGTAAGTATTACAGGGACAGGTTCACGGTTAAGCGCATGTTTATTAATTAAATTTATTATTTATTCTATCGGTTAATAATCCAACTCACATGTATCTCAGCGATCTCAGAGTGCATTTCAAATTAGAAGTGTATTTCAGAGTAACGTGAAGTAGGATGGAGGAGTACTAAAATCACAGAAAACATTAGTGGATTATGCCAACACTACCAACGTTGAATTTATTGTTGACCCGAAGGTTTTATTCCATGGTTGATTAATTTACAGCTATTTGCAAATGTTTAAGTTGATAAAGTGCAAGTGACTGCCAGGGGAGTGTGCAGATTGGTTCTTTGGCAACACAATTACATGATCATATTGCTTGCATAGACGATACAGCATGTCCTAGCAGAAAAAACAACATTTTGATAAATGAGCATGCGCTGAACTGATCAAAATGTATTGTTTATAGTAGAAATATACCTGGCATTCCACTTAACGAATTGAACTCAGAAGTGTCTAAAAACGACTCTAAACTCTTGACTCAACCACTTGCTTGTCTTAAGCCTCGTGTTTGGTGAAACCAGGTTTAAAAATGGCAAATAAGTGGAAAGAAAATTTAAGGACTGAATTTCTCCAAGGGTTCAAGTAAATTTGGACTTACTCGGCTTCCATTTGTGCCAAATTTGTTTTTGAAAAAATTGATTCGGCAGCGTCTATTAAAGAAACAATAATTTATTGTATACCTTGTTTTCGTAGTTAAAAAGGACATGTTTAAGCTTTGATGTGTATCATGGGGCGTTAGTTAATGTCTTAGTTGGCAGATGGCTTGTACAGACCGTTACACTTCGGGCAAGTGGGCTTTAAATGTTACTTGTCCAGCAAGAGAAGACTACCGGACTGGACTTTTTTCTAGCCTTATTTTAAACTCTCACCGTCATAAATTGAATCCCATAACCAATTTTTTTTTATTTTATTTCAGCCACTTCCTGGTTCAATGACGCTGGATTACGTCAACGAGAAGGTAATAACCTATTTGTAGAGGTGAATTTTTCCACAAATTATACAGAACTCCTCATGCATATCTAACAAACTACAACACCTTTTCCTTTTGTTTTTCAGTACTGGAAAGTAAACAAGCCATTAGAGATGTATTATGCGCTCAGTAAACCACAGCAAAGCTCTTGACAACTGTCCCATTTTCCAACTCTGTATACATCTCTGAGCACCAAACCGATTTGTGAGCAAGAAAAGGCGCTCTTATTTAAATGGTAATACGCGAAAACAAACCTTAGCAATCATCGCCGTCCATATACAGTAGTAGTCCGTGTCATTTTATATGAGAAACACCGATTGCAAGAATTGGAAAATGTCGGAGCTCAGTGTAAAGGAGATATAAGTAATGATTTCAACTTTGTGTTTAAAGCACTATCTATTTTGACCTTAGGTCTATTTTGACCTTAGGTTTATTAGTGCGCATTTCACAAACATGGGAATTCTGAAGTTCAAAATGCGTTTTTCACTGCCGTCAATCATCTTAACGAGCCTCTTAGGGAGCAAAACTTTACTTTAAAGGGTTCAAAAGGTCATTGTTTGTGATTTGTGATTGGTAGATCCGTTTTGTGTGTTTCTGTGTTTCAAGGTTCGTTGCTTGTGGTCGTAATTCTGTTTCGCGGCAGCGAAAAACGCAATTGTGAAGGCCGCTTTTGAACTTTAGAGTTCGCATGTTTGTGAAAAGCGCAGTAAAGAACAAACAAACCTTGGCCTTCGCGCTTGCCTTCTGCTCCAAGATGTTAATTTAAAGATGAAAGCGATCCCTCCATTATTATTATTATTTTTTTTTTCTGAAATGTATCATTTTTTCGCCACATGTAAGGGAATCCAAGACAGCCTTCAGGGTCCGAAATTGCGCCTTCCTGGTCGCCAATGCGACTAAAAATTTAGTCCTGGCGACCAGAATTTCATGGCTGGTCGCCAGCTAGCGACTTGTAAAGCTGGTTGTTATCGTGGACTTTAACGTTTGGAGAAACTGATTAAGAATTGAAACCTCGAAGCTATTTGTCAACAGGTGTTTTACTTTTTGTCCTACTGATATTTTTAAATTAAAAGTGAAACGAATCTTCCTGTACTAATACCTCCACAACAGCTACGATCAATACGAGTTAAACGTTTCGAAGCCGCCATGTTGTTTTCAGCTGAAATACGGTAAATACGTCATGTACTTTGTGGACTGGTACGAGTAATGTGGCACGGTTGTGGCCTGGTACGAGAGACATGGTGGCTTGACTCTTTGACTCTTAGCTTGACTCATGTTTATGTTTCGTGTTTCGTGGTAGTTATCGGAAGAAAATAGAGTTTTCATATTATCAGTGCAGTCATGGGCAGACAGCTTTCTGTTCCTATGTTCAAGGTCAGATAGCTTTATATCTCCAAAAAGCAATTTGTGGAGAAAAATAAGACTTCACTCGTACACGTACGGTTGCTTTCTGGTATCGGGAGCGGAAGTAGTGCAATTTTTGACCATAGAAACGCCCATACCATGCATTTTTTATTCGTGTTTAAACTTTTATTTGAAAAAAAGGGAGGGGAAATTTTTGGCGACCACAATATGTTCTCTGGCGACCAAAAATTTATACCTGATCGCCAGTTGGCGCCCTTATTAGAAAGTTAATTTCGGACCCTGGCCTTGGATTTTGAATTCCATTCCCGATAGATTTCAGATTACAGGTCCTAGGCTTAGGATTCTTCGTCAGTGGAACTTGGCTTCCGGATTCCAATCGTTAGTGAAATTCCAGATTCCTTGAGCTGTATTTTGCGGGTTCCACAATTAAAATTTCCTGGACTCCGGATTCCTCAACCAAAAATATCCCTGGAATCAGGAAGCCGGATTCCCTTACACGGGGTGAATTTTTGGGGCGTTAAACTTTCATTCACGTGACTGTACTGTGAAACAACATATCTATGTCAGTCCCACACATAAAAGCGCCTCAAGAAGTTCGCTTGTTCCCTTTTTCATTGAGCTCCCAGCATTTCTCATTCTTATAAAAGAAAAATAGGACGCCGTTTTTCTTTTTTTTTCATGACATGCTTGTGAAACAGCTTTGATGTTAATTTGTTACATGTTTAAGTGTACCTTTCCACTGCAAGCTTTGAGGATGTAAATTACTTGCTATCAAAAATGTATTCATTCTGGCTTTGGCTGTGTCTTGTGACGAGCTGACAGTAATATGACGATAAAGTTTACATTGTCGAATCCGTGTGTTGATCATCTTTATAGGGGCTGTTAACATGGAAGGGGGAAGATCCTAGAAGGCGGAACAACATTTAGGTCGGTTTTATGTGAAGAAATCTCGGTCCGTGTGGTACCCGGCAAGTAGCCAGATATAGTTAATCGATAAAAATCGATGTCGAGAAGTAGAGAAGGATTGAGTTATGGCAGGCGATATTAAACAAAAATGCAATTTGGGCCCTTCGGCACCCTTTACTGGCGTTAATCTTTCAGCACAATTATCACATTAGCCAGTTCGTGGCAACACGAAACGAAATGGTCGGCCTTTATTGCTGTGATTTCCCACTGAACGACCAGACGCCATTTTTGTCTGGTCTGTCCCCTGTACTAGGATCGTACTAGCGAAGGCAGTTTCACCTTGAGTATCCGATATGTGACCATGTACGTAGTTACTCCATTTCACTTTGTCAGACGCCATTTTGAATCGTGAGCTTCGCAGCGAGTGCAAAGCGGTGGATGGACTGCCTCAGAACTCTGAACATAAACGATGTGCATAAAGGGACTCGGTGCCCACTTTTGTGCCTGAATTCTAGCGTGGGGTCATGAAAGGTGAAAGGGTGTGTTCACATTAGTGCCCAGGGAGTAACGTACTTGGGCACCATACTGTGCACCAGGTTAACACCTTACGTAAATGACATTGGTTACTGTTACGGAAGTCAACTTTGTATAAACAAGAGCCATAATGGGCCATTATGGCTCTTGGTATACAGCAATGATTTTGCATACATTCTTGGGAACAGCAAAACTGATTTAGAACAAACATTCTAAGTATAGTGTTCTTTCCGTGCAATAAGGCATAAATAAAAGTTCTGGAAGAAAAGACAGCATATTTTATACCACTGATGACAAGCAAAAATATGGGTACCTCGGTTAAAAATATTTAAATAACTCTATTAACTAGTAATAGTTGACACTACAGCTGCCCCCGCTCTGTATATTGTCGGTCAATAGTATTCTTGCTCGTTGTGTAGCTCTTTGAAATATACCGATTCATAATGAAGATGTTCACACATATTCCAAACAATAGGTGAGATAAATACAGGAAAGAAACGCAAGGTTACATGCACAGTTTCGGTTCGATTTACATAGCTTTGATCAAAACATAATCATTCTCAGCTTCAAGAATAGTTTATTCTTAACCAAAAGAAAAGATTTAATTAGAAGTTTAATTTTTCGCTATTTCTATTTCACTTGTTACATTTAGTTCATTTCATTTGCCGGAAAGTAAGCCTTAGAAATTAAAAGGACGTTTGATCAATTCACGCTCGCGCATTCTAGTCTTATTTTAAACTTTATAGCGGAAGGACATCTGTGGGCAGGGAATAAGTCAGCACAGAATTTGATGGGTTGGCGAACTTCTGTAATTGTCCATGGTTCTGCTAGTGATAAGCTAGCCGTTGAATCATTCTCTCGTCTTGCTTGTTGTGGGCCGAGTCTTATTCGGTCAAAGAGAGAGAAAGAGTGTCTGGCAAGGTTGAGCTGAAGGTTTCCAATCAAAGATTTGCGAACTCGTGTCTGGCAGACTCAGTTTGCGTTAAAATATACATTGTTCTACGCACCTTACAACTTTATCTGCGCTTAACGAGCGTCTTTTGGTCCATAACTTTCATAACAACTGCTCCACGGAATGTCACTGATAACAGTCGTGGCGCAAAGGAGTATCGAAGTGCGACTGCACAATTAATGTCACAAAATCTACCTATTGTAAGCTGTTCCTTCGGAATTTATTGTGTTTTACGTCATCCTAACCATGTCGTACTTGTGGGCGCAAACAACAGAAACGTCATACCTACTGATTCCTGGCGCCCCTGTTCAAGCAAAGCGAGATTTTTTCTATATTGACTGTATGACTGTATATTTCAACTTTAAGTACTTTCCTCGATAGAGCGGTTTTCACTTGACTGTCGTAAAACCAAAACCAAAGTAAATACACTAGCCAACCAATGGGCGTAGTAAAACCAAAACCAAAACCAATTCCTCAATTACTTTCGACGGTCAAGTGAAAACCGCTCTATACACGCGAGTTACTAGAGTGCCTCCTCGGGATTTCGCCTTCTGGGGGAAATTCCTGCGGGGGCAATTAATACCAGAAACTCATAAGGGGTTTTGACCCCTTATGAGTTTCTGTTAATACCAGTTCTAATTTAAAGGAAAAAGTTATGAGAATAAAATAAAAGTTTTCTGTACCACGAAGCATGCCTTCACTGTTTAGACTGAGAGTCCTAAAGCTTTTTTAGCATGTATTCGAATATCTTATGACGATAAGCCCGCCAAGCACGCCACCCCACCCGATTCACGTAACCCCTGTGGGTGATACCCGCTGAAAATGGACCAAATTACGCGGGCATCACCCGCTGAATTACGTACTATCGTACGGTCAATATGGCGGTCCATAGGATACACAACTTTCTGTGCAAGTAACCGTTATATTTTAGATCAAATAAGAACAATTTCGCCTCTTTGATACAGCGGAAGATGAAAAGACTAAAATATTAACGACTGTTTGATCGAATTTGATATAAAAAAACGCAAATTCTCAAACAATTCCAGCTTACGAATGAGGAATAGGGCGAGTTAAATTGCTCAAAGTGAAGTTTTACTTCATTGCGTTGGGTTAAAATCCATCTGTGATTTGAGATAAAAAGTCTTTAGTAAACAATTGTAGCTCTCAAAACGGAAAATGAAATATTCTGGGTTTCGGGAGTGCGGTCTGGCTCACGTCCTATAGGATGCTGATACGACGGGCGTTTTTAAGACGGGCCAAATTCGAGAGAGAAACTTTATTACAGTTGCCCCCAAATGAAGTGTATTTTGAATGATATTAACATCAAACTGTTCAGAATCGTGTAATAGAAGCGCCCAAAGTAAAGAATTTTGGAATGGCGAGTGCAGCGTGTGT